AAACAAAGATGCTCAAGACTCAAACACCCTTTTTGATTTAAAATTAAAATAAATCATAGCTTTTGTAATTATAATCCTGTATCAATCCTACTTACTAATGACACCTTCTTTAATCGATCTCAATCAACACCCACAGTCAACTTTTTATTAATATAGTATAGCAAGGCACGTATTCGATTTACTACTTTAAAAAAAAAAAAAAAAAAAAAATCAATTTTTTTATTCAATTTTAGCTATGACAATTACTGCAAAAAAATAGGCTCTGCATACATTAGCTCCACCTGATGTAACTGATAAGTATACTGTAGTTCTTATTAGTAGGTTGTAACGTAATTATTAGTTAAATCAGGCTAAATCAGGTTAATTAAGAGTTTATACATACAGAGTTTATTTTTTTACTGCATATTACCATATTTATTAATCAATATATAAAATACGTCAGATCAACAGTACAGTAGTTAATACATATTTGAATAAAAGAAAAGAAAAAATAATGATCAGTAAATTTCTTTTTCTAATTTAAAAAAAATAATAAGATAAATACAAGATAAATACGTACCTTTACTGTCAAATAACTGGTATATATAAAGTTAGTTGAATGGTTTCTTTAGCTTTAGTATTTTAGTTAAACCTTGTCTAGTTCTTGCTTCTCAGGAATAAGACCTCTTCAAATTCATCATTTTTTGCTTGAAGGATATGTTTTTTATTTGGGCTCTGTGATTTATCACACAAGTTGGTGTTATAGAAAGTGTTTGTTAAAGTTGATTAATTGAAAGTCCATTATTAAAAAAACCTGCTTACTATATTTCTGAAATAAACCATAACCTATTATTTATCTCTGCAACAATGACTCATAATAATAAAAAAAAAACATATGCAACTAATAACAGTGCAAATGCAAGTAATGGAGAAGATATAACTCGGTCTATTTCAGAGTCTGAAACAGACAGAAGCAAGCAAAATTCTAGTATTGAAGATATTCTGCTTTCAGAAACAAATCAACTTTCAGCTTTACTTAAACAATTAGAAACTTTGGAGAAACTCCAAGCTACTAATAATAAGATTAACAATCAAAGAATTAAGCTTATTCCAGATAACACCAATAACAACATATCTAAAAAAAAAAAAAGGAAAAAACTCCAAAACTAATAAGAGAAATCACAAGGATGGTTCCAGTTCAGGAATAAAGAGTACTAGTAACGAAAATCCTATTGTATGTATTTAATAACTTTGGGTAATTTTACTATTACATAATTCTAAAAGACTGTTTTTATGATTCAAAACACTAGTTGAAAACTATGAATTTGACCTGGTCAAATTACAATAACATTCGGCAACAAATCGGCTGATTTTTTTAAAATTCAGTAGCTTCAATATTAATTCAACCTAATTTAGTCAAAAATTTAACAACTGAATTTTAATAAAATTTGACTATGCCAATTTCTTCAATAATTTGACCTAATTTAGACAAAAATTCGACAACTGAATTTTAATAAAATTCGATTATGTCGATTTCTTCAATAACTCGACCTAATTTAGTCAAAAATTCGATACCCGAATTTTAATAAAATTCGAATATGTCGATTTCTTCAATAACTCGATCTGATTTAGTCAAAAAATTTGATACTTGAATTTTAATAAAATTTGACTATGCCAATTTCATCAATAATTCGACCTAAATTAGGCAAAATATTTGACTCCTGATTTTAATCAAATTCAACTATGTCGATTTCTTCAATAATTCGACCTAATTTAGTCAAAAATTTGACATCCAATTTTTAATCAAATTTGACTATGCTGATTTCTTCAATAATTTGATCTAAATTTAGTCAAAAATTCGGAAATTGAATTGAATTGAATTTTAAAATCAAAATTTTGTCATATCATTTTTACATAAAAAATCGAACCATATTCAACTACGTAACTAGCTTCAGTATAAAATTAAAGCGTGTCATAATTATCGTTAATAAAAAATTGAACCATATTCTAGCTTTATTATAAGCTTCATTATAAAGCGTGTCATAATTAGAAACAATTGAACCATATTTGACTATTCATGCTGTATTCAATTAAAGCACATTATAATCATTTTTAGACCCATATTCGACTATGTAATCAGCTTCATAATAACATTCATGCTGTATTCAATTAAAGCGCGTCATAATCATTTTTACATAAAAAATCGACCCATATTCGACTATGTAATCAGCTTCATAATAAAATTTATGCTTTATTCAATTAAAGTACATTATAATCAGCTTTACTAGAAAAAATCGAACCATATTCGACTACGTAATCAGCTTCATAATAAAATTCATGCTTTATTCAATTAAAGCACGTCATAATCATTTTTACATAAAAAATCGACC